GGATCAAATACTGACAAAATCCCAATAGTAAACAGTGTGAGTAATTAACGCTTTTGGTATCTGCTGAGGCAGTAAAACCTTGTATTGGCTTTGTAAAGAGTGTCTGTACTAGAAATCCATCCCTGCTTCCTTTTGGATTTGGGCGATGCAAATTCTTGCAGCAATGCAAATGATTTGCATCAAAGGTGACCATGTCCACCGAAGGAGGGAGGAGGGTGACTACAAACTGGATCCAGATCTATGCTAACTCTTTTTGAGGAGAACGTAACAAGCATGGGAAAAAGGTGATTCTGGGGATGCCTGGGAAGAAGGAATGGTGAAGTGCCTGGAAAAGTTGCTGTCTTACAGTTTCCCTTGATGGCCAGGCACTTGAAACTCCTCAGCTGGGGTGGGACAGAGTCCTGGAAAATACAGAGAACAGCCCCACTTCGACTGCTGTGGCATGGATGGCAAAATTGCATTTATTTGGTCTCATTCATGTCTCCTGTGAATGGTGATGGCGGGTGAGCAGTAGGATGAAGAGCAGAGCAGCTGCCCTGGCTTTCTGTACCTTGGAGGAAATTTGATTTGCCCTTTCCTAGTGATGCTTATCACCGGGAGCTCTCCTTTGGTCTTCTGTGGACTTTTGCCATCCCTTAGTTGTGCTTGAGACAAGAAGGGGGAGGCTTTTATTACGGGTGAACTGTCTGTTGTCTGTGGACCTTTCGCTGCTGGCCTGTCCCTAGCTGTAAGGCTTTTGGACAACAGCATCTGCTCCCAGGACTAGCACTGGGGAGAGGGCCAGGGTCACACTTAGGGTGTCCATTGGGATTGTGCTATGCCCACTTACTTACAGCAAAAAACCTAAATCTAGAAAGAGGAGCAGTTTTCATAGATATGTGAACAAGCAGGAAAATGCTAGTCTCATGTATCCTATTGAACTGATGGAGGGAATACTAGCTAGTTAAAATAGCCGCAGTCATGAGTACTTATGTAGAATAAAAAGAGCCATATACAGTAATGTCAAAGCAGCAAGAATGCAATTTTAATATAAGCTATTGCCAGTATGATGTGAAATTAATTTTTTTGTTGTTATATTAGGTGCCAAAGAATCCAAGGTCTCAGCCAGAGAACAGCCTGTTTGGTTTATATTTTTTCTTTTACAGAATTTGAAAAGAGAATGTTGTTCTGTTGGCATTGGAACAGCACAGGAAGAGTAGTAAGTGATTTAAGATGCTCTATAGGCCAGTACTCAGTGTTTCTCACTTACATAGACCGACATGTTTACTCTTGAGTTTCTGATTAATTATAATAATATTAGAGTTACATTCCATGTCTTTCAAAAAAACCCCAGTAAATTATCAAAGGGAGCACGTGTCTATACACAGGCAATTCACTGCTGCTAGTGTCAGAGCACGTGAGCTTATGTTATGGGTTTACACTCTCAGCAGTGATGAAAGGCATCGTAAAGGTAAGAGATTCAAGGCTCAGCAGCTAGGACTAGCAAACCCTGAGCAGATGATGCACTGGCCAAAGTGGAGCAAAAGCTTGCATTAAATGAAGTTGTAAGACTTTTGGCCCTTTGAATGTGGTGCTGTGCGGTACTGAAGGAGACAGGTAGACTGAATAAACCAGCAACTTTCTCATGAAGCAAGAGCTTTCTCCAGCCTCTCCATTATCTTCTCCCTCTGCTCTCTTTCTCCTCCTCTGGCTTGAAAGGAAAAAATGGTGTTTTCTCTTCTCTGAGCTAGCTGGAAAAACTGCAGCACATTAGTAGTCCTGGGATGTGGCAGTGGTGGCAGTAGAAGTTTCCTCTGGGCTGAGGTGCTGGAGACATTGTGCTAGCAAACCCAGATGACACTAAGAGGAACGAGCCTCTTCAGAGTCCTAGCGGACTTGCATTGCATCTTAAATGCATGCCTAGTAATGAATGTGCTGTGGAGGAGACTTGAACATCTGGTCACTTAATTCTAGTATTTCTTAATTTATAAGGATATGAAAATTTGAACATGATATTTGAGATAAAGTTACCAATCTGATAAGACTGTTGTTCCCCGTGAGTGAACATCATTCTTGTGAATATGGGACAGAACTATTACTGTATCAGCTATGCCTGTAGCGCATTAGCAATGTACATTTCTGAGCTGGAAATATACTTCATTTATGACTTAAAACTTGGTGTGTGAGTGTCCCAAACTCTCTGCTGTGGCCTCTCAGAAAATTGCAGAAGTACTACATATTGAGGAAAGACCTTTCTCCACAAATATTCTGTATATGCAGTTTGAAGAGCAGCTGACTTCTTATTTTAAGAGTCGCCACCTTTGGCAGACAAACTGTTTCATGTGTTACTGTCTGGTGTATGAATGTGCTTTCTGGGGTGCCATTTCCCTGTGAGGGCAGAGTTGAAAAAAGGCAGGTTGTCTCCAGTGTGGTCAGTACCAAGTTGCATCTCAGCTGGGAAAACCTCTCAAAGTCTTCACAGAACTTGAAAACAAATTAGACTGATGCCACAATAAATGTCTGCTTTTAAAGACTTTTTAATGAGAAGAGGATGAGCCTGCTAATGAACATGAGCAGCACTAACTCTTGGTGGTCCTGACCAAGGAAACAACATCCACTCAATGTCTACTTTTATTTGTCTTTAAAAGCAGACCAAATGCATTGTACTCCTGCTTTTATTTAAAACTACCTCCCTGCCTATCTGTCAGCTGGGATGTAGGCTATGTTTTCAGGAAGATGACATGATGCCAGCGCTTTAACTGTGACCAAAGCCAGTATGCATTTGTCTGTGGGATGCTGGCAGGTGCCTCAAGGAGATGCCATGTTTTCAGGCAGCTGAGGCTGCTTGAGGTACTTACCGTGACTTGCCCTATTGCAAGGTCCCAAGAGAGCACTGAGATTACTCACTTACCAGCCTCTGTCTCCTGTGTGCTGGTGGCATGTCTCTCCAGCTCCTGATCAGTGAGGGTGGCAGCAATGGCCTGAGAGAAGCTCTTTGATCTCTTTGTTCTTCCAGAAGATCAGACATCCCAAGGCATCTTGTTACCTATATGAGCCGTGAGGCCCAAATGAGACAGATGCTTGCTGTGGAAGGAGGCCCTTTAAGGCAAAAGGTGCATGGTATGGGGGTTTGGCTCAAAATCCCCTCTCCTGCTGGCTGTGGGCCAGCTTCCCGTAGTTCTGTCCAGCTTTCCAGCATGGCCAGCAGCCCCTCCTGCCTGGCAGCAGGGATGGGGGGAGGACACCACGCTGGTGTCGCTGGTACAGCAAGGTGACCTCATGAGGACTTTGAAGGAGGAGGACTTAAACGCACAAAGGATTAAAAGTTAGCCATGTGATTCAGTGGGGTCCTGAAGAGACATCAACCCTGAACTGGCTCCTTAAGGTGCTGCTCTCAGGTTTTTTGTTCCTTCTGTGAAACACAAAGAAATAGAGAAATTAAGGTTTACTGTGGCAGTTTGGAGTCAGATGAGCGCCATCATCCTGGGACACACAGCCAAGCTGTTGGCCCTTATTTCTGCAATTATTACCCCTAAGAATGCAGTGTTTAATTCCTTCCCCCCTTTTCTGTCCTTTTTTCTTTATTGTTTTCTCTTGGAGACTAAAGGGCTGTTCATTAATGCTTACCAAGACCCTGAGTGTTCTTGGAGAAAAGTCCTTTGGAAAGTGCCACATTAGATAATCGTGTGTGTGTTTTGAGTTGCTGCATAGTGCCATGCTTGCTCAAATACTGTGCAGCCAGACAAGAATGTCAGCCATGGGAGGAGCCTTTTGCATCAGTAAATTTTATCTGAAGAAAAGCTACTGTTTTCAGGGCAGAAAAGCATGTTATTCCTCCATCTTTGTCCCATAACAAAATTACAGACAACTAGAAAAGAGAATCCTGTTAATCAGAATAGTCAATTGGGGAATCACTAGCTCTGGTTTTAAACACTATTTGTAATTTGCTTTAGGGTCTGTAGCCTAATTCTTTCCTTTGAGTTAATTAAAATACATTTGGATGTGACAGACATTTCCAAACCTTCCTGCAATTCAGGAGGAAGGGCAGGTTTTTTGTCATCCTCCATCAAGTACAGAGGCTCTGAACACAGAAGAATTTCACTACAATGCTGCAAGGTTGTTTACCTTAGCTCCTTCACAAAAGATAATCCAACAAATTACATTAATTATAAACCAATATGTTCTGTTCAATTCCCACATGAGCCAAACCTGGGTATGAGCATCTGCTCTTATTTTCTGAGCTGGGTTTTGAGGACAAGACTCACAACAATGCTCAATCCATAATTAACAGAAAAATTAAAGATGCAACATCCCTTGCATCCTGCTTTTTGAAGCAGCATGTTTAAAAATATACATGCACTGTCCTGGCAGTTTTTATTCAACATAAAAAAAAACAATACTCTATTGTTACCCTGGTGTGTTTTTGTTTGTTTAAAATATTTACATTTATGTTAGGCTTAAAATAAACATGTAAATACTTTCCATAAGAAAAAAAAAAAAAAGAGATTCATAATTCCCTCTTGTGCTACATTTTTTTTCTTTTCAATTGTTTCTCTCCCTCCCCCCCAAAGATGACCTCTTTTCATAAAATGTGGTTTATTCTGCATTAAGCATATTGTTTTCTTTATGAAAAAAGGACTGGTTGGGCTTCTTCTCATTTTATTTTTTTAAGTGGCATATTTTTTCAGTTTCATTTCATAACAGGAAACAAAAGAGAACGTGATTGTTTGACCTGGTTACCAAAGAAATTTTTGGCTAATAAAAATCCCATTAGCATGATGCCAAGTTCTTCTAGTTGTTTATGGTAAGCATGCCTATACAATTATGCTCCATTTGCATGTGGAAGGAGTGGAGGAAAGAGAGCTTTTGTGGTCTAGGCACTAGGCTGGCACTTGAGATAAGAGATCAGTTCCCAGCTGTGCAGCAGACTGACTTTGAACAGACAGCAAATTTCCATGGCTTACTATTGCAGAACGGATTAATAACACTTCTTTCCCCCATCTTCCATTTTGTTCCTGTAGGAAACTGAACTCCTGAAGGCTGCTTGCCCTGGTGTGCAGCACTTGGTCTGCTGTGGGGCCCTACCAAGGGGGATAGCTGCGTTGCCTTCACCTGAGACTCCTGTAGGAGCAGAACTAACTTCCTAACTCACTGTGCTTAACAGAGCTCATGCAACATAAAAGGAATAAAAAATTATATGGTTGCTACTATCCATTCCTGTTTCAGGGAGGAAGATCTGAATTTCTTGATAATGAAGGTCTTTCCTTTGTTCCCCCTATCCCTTGGGTTTGCCCATGGCCATGTCTGATGGTGCTGACAGCCCCGTGGCTCCTAGCTGCTGTGGAGCAGCCTGTTGGCCTGCCCTAGATGTGGTCTTGCCCATCCTGCCAGGAGATGTCCTCCTTGCTGGGAACCCCCGTGTTGCTGCTGGAGACAAGGATATGGTTGCTGTCCCATTGTAGTCACACTTCTTGTACCACTGTGCTGTGCGGCAGCCTCTGTAGGCTTGCTGGATTTCCTGCATTTCACGCAAGTCTTGTTTTAATGAATAAGTAATTGACAAGAAAACAATAGAAATTTATTAACTACAGGAGTGAAAAAATAACACGGAAAAGCTGAACATGTTGGGAAACACTTCTGCAAAGAGAATGAGGGGGACAGCTTCTTTGAAAGCCAAGACATGTAGCCCCTGGAAGCTCAGAGATGTCGCCTCTGTTGCCCGAGGTTTTTGTTCCCCTGGGACTTGCAGCATGGATTTAGCTGTGAAAACGCTGCAGAGAGCAGGATGTGGTGAACCATAGGCTCTGTGGGCTCCTTGCTTGGCAGCACAGTGGGAGCTCGTGGGGCAGTCCAAGGAAGGACTGCGGGAGCTTCTCTGGAGTCACTGATTGGTACAGAGGATTTTTCATGTTTAGCCTTGCTGGTAGAGGGGTCCTGAGCCTGGATGTAATGGTCAGGAATTTCAGTTCCTGCTAACCACTCAAATTCTCCAGGCCTGTTATCCCAGTGTTCTTGGTGTTTGTTCAAAAAACGGGGAAACTTCCAGCCCTTCCAGTTCAGAGGGTGTAAGCTCGGTGTAAAGAAGCAGGAATAAATCCTCCAAGTGTTAAACGTTGTGATGGCTGGTGAGCTCTGCTGCTGGACACGGAGGAACCATGAGTCACAGATACGTGGGAACGGAGGGTGCTGCTGCCCACAGGAGGTGCCCAGGCCTGATGGGACATGCAACCAGGGAGTTGCCTACCTCTCTTCTGCAGGGCCGAGGAAGGAACGCTGGTGTGGGGCAAAGACCCTTGTGTCTGGACCAGCTGCTCCTGTGTGGCCCATGCCACTCACAGGTAGGGCTTGCTCAAGCTGCTCCTAACGGCTGAGCAGTGGCCCTGGGCTTGGATCTTCAGGCACAATTTGCTTTAGGCAACATCTGCATCTTCCTGGTCTGTAAACAGGTAACTATAATGTCCTCAGCAAGAGGACATGAGTTTTCAATTTCAGCCAAAGGCACATCTCAATCTTCCTCCAAATTAAAAAAGTAATCAAAAGGCAGCTCTTGGTGTCTCTCAAGTCTTTGATCATTTCCCCTCCCGCTTCAACAGTGCTCCTTGAGTTCTGGGACACATGCACGCCAAAACCTCTTCCTTTGCTGGGAGCATGAAGTTTTCAGCTGCGCAGTTTGCAGAGCGCACTTGAGGAGAAGCCTTCTGCTTTCACTATTGCTCTTGAGGAGAAGGATGTGTGTTCACTGCACAGCTAAGGCATGTGCTGTGCAGCAGCTCTTGTTTGGTAGGACTCTGAAAATGACTTCAAAATGGCACAGTGTGAACGCTGCATGCCCAACGTGTGATATTAAAACATTTAGAACTGGATCAAATCAAACCCAGTTTTCACCACAAACGCGTAGAGGCTGTTCTTCATGTTTGAAGACTCTTTTCTTGCCAAATTCCATCTTTCCACACTGAGATGCTTAAAAAAAGCCTTGTGTATGTATATATTTATATAGCTGAATGTTTTTTTGATCACATTTTATACAAAAATATTGCCTTTTGGCAGGGAGTCAGCTAGTAGGTGTTGGATTCAGAATGTATCGTAAAGTTACGAGTGACTGCAAATGACATTTACACCCAGTAAATCTGGTAGGGAAGTGTTAAGGTCGAAAAATCAAGGCCTCCAAAGCCAGGAAATTACATAAATAATAATTTCATTGAGCTCTCTGTATGTCTGTGCATGCGTGTGCATTTATAATTGTAGTTATGTGACTGATTTAGGTTTTTTCTTTAATTCCATGGGACCTGTCTCTTCTGTAGGTGGATTTTCAGTCTTACTTGCACCATGTGTTATTTTTTGCCACCAAAGCCCTGTGGAGTTACCTATACATGTCTGTGCTAGGACTGGGTCAAGGCCATGAGACTGAAGTCAGAGGTACCCTTGCATGGAGACTCAGTTACCAAGCCTTGGGAAATGGGTGGCTACCCCTGGTGGGACAGATTGCATGGGGTCACAGGCATGTGCTGGGTAGGGGGGATACCAAAGCCTGAGGCTTTTTCTATCCCTCAGCTTAAGGCAGCTGTAGATGGTATCTATGGATCTGTGAAGATACAGGCTCCTGGAGCTGCAAAAGAGACTGATAGCATCATGGTGTTGGGGAAGCATGGACATAGCTGGGGAGTAGGGTATGAGTAGGTGTAAGTTGCTCCTGTGGGACCAACAGATATCTGCAGAAGTTTCTGCAAAGCCTGCAGCTTGGATAAATAAATCTGTCTGGATTTCCCATGAATGCCTGTGCCCCAAGACAGAACACACTAGGGTTTCTCAAATAAAAGCTTCAAGAATTGCTGAAATGTAAGGAAAAGGTAGAGTATGGAGGGTGCACCCACTCTGAGGTCATGCCATCTGTGACCATCTGTGAAGGAAGTTTCCTTCTTGTTAAATAACCTCCAAAGAAAGATACCCCTAACCTCCCATAGGTGGCTTGTTCATGTACTGAGCTACCTTTATTTTTGTTTCTTTCCTAATCATAATAAAAGTGACATTTTTTTGTGAATCAAGGCAATTTCTTTCTGTGCTATTTGCTAATATTGCTGGAGAGCAATTGCTCAATGTCTTTTTCATAACCCCTTTTGGAAGAGCCTTATCATGTAATCTGTTGTTTCTAAACAAAAGTTTACAATGAAAGCTGTCACTTGGAGCAAAGACTCAAAAAGCAAAGGCACATCTGTGTGTTATTTCATTGGTTCTGCATTGCAGAACCTTTTGGAACCCACCACAGCTTGAAAGGAAAACCTTATAAAGGATTTTTATATTATTGGATTTTAGTTATTTTCACTTTTGGGATATTAGGTTTCTACATATTATAGTTGGCTTAAGCTTTCTTGTTTGCTTGAGGTTTTTTCCTCTTAGGATATTTTTTTTTTTAATGGAATTCCTCTTTTTAATTCTTTCTATTTTAAAGCAATGTGTTCATTACACTTGGATCCTTATTTTGGAGTCGCTTCACTTACTGGAGGATTAAATGGCATTTCTACATGTGTAAGGAGTTTAACAAAATTGAGTCGCATTTATTGAATGATCTTGTTTTTACTTATCCATAAAGTGCACCAGGATATTACTCACTAAGGCTCAAGTCTGATTTTTATCTGAGGTCCTGGCCTGAGCAAGAGACAAAAACAAGGGCAAATTAACCAAGAACATCAGTAATAACTCTTTAAAATAAACTTGTAAAGTAAATTAAAACTGTGAGTGAAGTGGAAGAAAACTAAAGGACAATGAGGAAAACCAAACCTCACGGATCAGTAAGAGGAAAGTTGGTGATGGTGTGATTGAGAGTAGAATTAGCCCCATCTGCCAAGTGCCTCTGAGCAGTAGAAATGTCACCTGCCACCCTTTCCCCAGGAAGGCTTTAGGCCAGACTCTGACCTGTTTTTCACCCTGTGCAACACTGACTTCAGTCTGTCTGCACAGATACAAGTGAGAAACCCACCCAGTCAAATCCTTCTCTAAACATAAGTAAATAAAGGAGTACTGTTTCTGGTTTCTGTAAGCTCTGAAATGATGTTTGCCTCATGTGATAGTAACTTCCTTGTGGTGCTTGCTGGAGGTGCCAGGCTGACAGCCCTGGGCGTTGTGTCCCTTGCAGCTTTACCATGCTTTCACAACAACCACTCCTCCCCTCTAGCCAATTACTTCGGTCCTCAGGGTCTCTGCTGAGACTGCCGTAGGCTGAGACCAGATTTAGTAATCTAAGTGAAATAGATGTGCACCACTGCAGTCTGGCAATGCAAAGCTAGCTGTCCATAAGGCGGAGTGGCTTCTACTGATTATTCTTTGACAGGGTACAGGTACAGTGACGGCATCAGTGCCTCGTAATCTGCAGCTTGTGGAAGTCACTATAGGGCTATTAAACACAATATATAGGTCAGACCAGTGTAGAGGTTGTTCTGGGTTATGTCTTTTGGCTTTGGAGGGTTTTAAATATGATGCAGCCCATACTCCCTTCAGGTACTTGCACTGAGCCTCTCAGAAGATGGAGAAGGGTTTGACTTGTGCGATGGCATTTGTAAGGTATAATTCAGGTGTGTAAATTAACTGCTCCAGCTCAGATACTAACACAGTGGAGAGCTTCCTTTTTACTACCAGCTTCTCCTGAAGCAGCCAGCTGCCTGGGTTTGATGCCCATATGGGGAAGCTGGCTCCTGTGGTACCAGCGACTTCAGGAAAGTGCCATGTATTTCCCCCGAGGCTCAAAACTGCTCACCTAGGTCCGTATAGATGTGAACCCTCTGCAGGGCTGCTCTGCCATTGTTGACATGTGTTTCTGGAAACCAGTGACTGCTTCAGTCATACTTAAGCTTTTTATCACTCTAAAATACACTGTGTCCCTTTTATCGCATTTAGAAAAATTAGTCTGTTCTGAACCAGCTGGCTGCTTTGAGGGCGTGCAAGTATGTGTATGACAGCACATGCTTTTACTTTTTAATGAACTATTTCCCCTGGCTTCGTCTTACTTCCACAGTCTATTTTTGTTGTTATAATGACACTGGTCAGTGAAGCTCAGAGGAAATCAGTCATCAAAATGCATGGTGCTGAAGCAGTATTTCTGCTGCAGTGGGTATTCTGTTAATGCCTTTGGAGATTTCTTGCTGTTGTCACTGCTGCATCCATACCATAATGCAGAACTACCTAAATTGAACCAAGAGGCAAAATTTGGAGCTGTATAACTAGGTTACCTAAG